GTGCTCATTGGCCTATGTCTGTGCTAGGAAAATCTGAGTGTGGTTATATTTGTGGTACCAGTGATGGAAGCTGTAGTGCAGGCATGGGCCATCTCTAGCACAGGTTTGATCACACACGTCTCGCTTTTCCACTACCAAATGATGCATCAAGCAGACAAAGGCTGCCATTTTAGTTTATGAATCATTCACTGGTCCAGCTCTGCATTAAATCGAGATGTGATACTGTTTCCATTGCTACGTGCTATTTATCCAGTTCTCATGTAGAAATGGCAGCAGAAGCCTGAAACGGTTTGTTAAACAGATGGTGAACAGCAAAGTCCAGATTTCCAAAAAAGCTCAGCCCCCAGTACTGAGCCCTTTTTGAAAATCTAGCCACTCCATTTGGGTGCCTAAATAGGAACTGAACTCTTTTGAAAATCTGGCCCTTCATATTCCCTTGTTAGCCAGGAGGCCCTAAAGATAGAGCTTAGCTGTTTATTATGCTGCAGCTGTATTCTAGTTAAAAACAGTGATTTTGAAACCAATATTGGGTTCTAACTCCGTTAATCAGAGGTAGCCCAGAGGGCTCTGATCTCAATAGTACAACCAAAAGTGGGGAAATAACAACAAATTGGGTTAAAATCACAGGAAGTCATTAGAAAAGGTGCACAAATAAACAACATGTGCTCAAGTCTTTGCAGGATCAGGGCCTTGTAGTCAAATTGCAGGGGTTGTTCAGTTTCATAACAAGAAAGAAAAAAACCCACTTGCAAGTCTTAAAACATTCCCTAAGTTTCAAATGGACAATGATGCCCTCTGCTGGGGCACTTCAGAACTGTCACCAATGGAAACAACAGTATCTTTGAAAATTAACTATTGGCAGCAAATTTACATTTTTTAAAAAGCACAGATTCTTTTGCCCTCAAATAATGCATGGTAGATTAATTTAAGCATTGTGCATCTGTATTGTTGATTCTGCATCAAGAAATATTTTATACACTGCAAAGTGATATCTTCCCAAACAAAACAAAAAATATTTAAAGTCTGAAAGTACGTTTCATTATAGTCATATTAACACCCATATCCCCTCCCTCCACAAAAAATTCTTTTACAAAAAATCTACACCTTTTAAATATTTGGGTCATTTTACAAATATAGATTGAGCAAGAATAAACTCTGTTCTTCACAGCTAAATAAACCTTCATTAATCCTGATCTTCCCACCCCAATGACTCCACATCTATGCTCCTTTGTTTCATTCTATCATGGAAATATGCAGTTGGATATAGACAGAAATTTTCTTTTTTTGGTTTTATTGAGGCCCAGATTTTTCAAGAGCTCTGTGCTCAGCAGCTGCCAATTAGGCACCTAAAAACAAATGGATGAATTTTCAATAGCAGTTAGCATCCAGCTGCTCGGAGGGGAATTACGCATGTTTTAAATTCTAGCCATTTCATTTAGTGCCTAAATGAGAGATGAGCTTTTTTTAAAATCCAGCCTTAGCTGTCGGGTAAGAACGTTTGAAAACCTGTCCATATGTCTAAGTAAGGATTTCAAGAGGAATACATTTCCTGGGAACATTAAGTTGTGTCAGAGTTCTATACTGGTGTTGACAGTGGTGAGCTGGAGCCGGTTCGTACCGGTTCGCGCGAAGAACCGGTTTTTAAATTTAGAAACCGGTTTAGAACCGGTTGTTAAAGGGGTGGGCAAACTCTGGCCCGTGGGCCACATCTGGCCCGCGGGACCGTCCTGTCCGGCCAGCCTGAGCTCTCAGCTGGGGAGGCTCCCCCGGCCCTTCTCCCACCTTCCCCCCTATCGCAGAGCCTCAGCGTGCCGTGCCGCCGGTGCTCTGGACCGCTCCTGGGCAGCTCTGCAGCTCCTGCCGCTCTGAGTGGCATGGTAAGGGGGTGGGGCTGCAAGCTCCAGCAGGCCGCGCGGCATCCATACAAGCTGCCCTGAGCAACATGGTAAGGGGGCCGGGCCGGGGCTGGGAGGAGGGGTTGGATAAGGGCCAGGGAGTGGTTGGAGGGGTCGGTCAGGGGATGGGGGGGTTGGGTAGGCGTGGGTGTTCCGGGGGTCTGTCGGGGTGGTGGTGGATGGGGTTGGGGCAGTCAGGGGACAGGGAGCGGGGCGCGTTGGGTAGGGGGTGGGATCCTGGGGGGCAGTTAGGGTGGGGGGGTCTCGGGAGGGGATGGTCAGGGGACGAGCACGGGGGAGGGTTGATGGGTTGCGGGTTCTGAGGAGGGAAGTTGGGGGCAGGACGGGGGGTAGGGGGTGGGGTCCTGGGGGTAGGCTGTTTTGGAAGGCATGTGGGACTTGTACTCACCGGGTCTTCGGCAGCACTTCAGTGGCAGGTCCTTCATTTGCTCCGGGTCTTTGGCGGCACTGAAGGACCTGCCGCCGAAGTGTCGTCAAAGAACCAGTAGGGAACCGGTTCCTTAGATTTGGGCAGCTCATCACTGGGTGTTGGTCCAGTATGAAGTTGTAGTACACAGCGTGCTATGGTGTAGTGGAAGTGGGTGCTTTGAATGGGACACTCTTTGTTCCTAGTCATTTATTTCAACCTCTACTTATATTTTTTGTGCAAGATGGGGCAAAGTTAAGATTGTATGGCCAATACAAACAGAATGGGGTAAGAGTAAATGGTAGAGGATGGTATTCCCATTAGGACCTGGCTGAATCTCTTCCCTCTTCAAGTGTTCAAAATGTTCCTAAAATGATTTTTAAAAAAGGGGGCGGGGGAGGGCTAGGAAGTTTGTAAAGAAAAAACTGAGGGGAGGGTGGTAGCAACTGGATTCCACAGAAACATAATGAAAAAGAAGGTAAGACTGAAACTCAGATTTATGTTTGGAAATTTCTGTTTTTTTTATTAAGTGCCAAAAGTTTAAACCTAGGGGTTAGCTTAGCTGTGATCCCCAGGAGGGGTGGTGGTGCAAGGATGTTGGAAGCTTTTGTTCACATTGAAGAATGCTCCATACCACCCATCTACGTGCCCAGACTCTGTCTCTCTCCAGGTCCCCTAACCCCCATCCATGCACACAATCATTCTAGTCCCTTCCCGTTTCATCCAGATCTCTTACCCTACATTTCATGCCCCCCACCTCCAGTTCAACCCAGCTGCTGCAGCAACACTGACCTGCAGATGAATGTTGATATTTACAAACCTTCAAAAATACTTTAAATGGTTGTACCATATGGATGTGAAAACAGCTGTGCGTGGATGCAGCCCACATGGCAGCCCTTGGTAACAGGAAACGAAGATAAACCCATGTTGCCAGCTCTTGCGATGTACGCTTCACTTAAAGCCCCAACTCCTGGACGTAAGGAGGGTGGACGGCTGGTAGGCAGTGGGCTGTGATATGCAGGTCAGACCAGATGATTTGGTGATCCCTCCTGGCCTTAAACTCTGACACAAAAAGCTCAGAATTCATTTTAAAAAATATTTCCGTTCCTAGCAGAGAAAAGCTTGGAACTGTGACCAGGGTGAACCTTGAAGGCTCAAAAAACCCGCAACAACAGGCAAATAAAAAGAACCCCCAAATAATTATTTTTAAATCTCTTTCTGGGGGCCTGACTCAAGATTTTGAGCATTTGGGGATGGTGATACAGCACCACAAAGTAAGAGAAATGCTATTAAGGCAGAGCTTCCTCTGTGCAGTCTTTCTTTACGCTAGCCCAATGCACAAAATCACAAACCCAGAGCAAAACCGCACAGAATGGCTTATTTAAGATGGGATCTGAAATACCCAAATATTCTGCTTAAAAAGAAGTGCAGTCCTGTATAAGCAAGATAGTCAGTTTCCCCAATTCCTACTAGCTTCTTCTTGATCTTTCCGAACTGGGTTGGACATTTTTTTAACAGGCCCCACCTTCCACTGCTACCTCTTCATACCCCTGCTCTCATAAGGCAGGGAAGGGGGCTGTAGTGTTGGATTTGTATACCCCATCTTTGTATTTATCCCAATAATCCCCCAAATCTCCACTCCCCACAAAACAACCCGCCCCCCTTCCAAAAGCAGCTAAACTCTCCTCAGCAGGGCTGACAAGACAAGACAAAGGTGGAGTTTGTAGGCCAAGCCATTCTGGAGATGTGTGAAGCCGAAAACAACATTTTTGCAAAAAGTCAACCCACTGGGGAGTTTCGAAAACAGCTCTTTAATTTAAAATTCTGATTTCCCCCCCAATACTTCCCAGAGAAATTCTAGCCTTCCATACAACGTGCCTGTGAAATTGCAGGGACATTGGTTTCTTATGGGAATGGGATGGAAATCAGGATTATAATGAAAAGTCAGTTTCAACTTTAATGACCAAGAAGTTAGTGCTACTCCATACTACTTTGCACTTCTCCAGTACTTCTCATCCAAGGGAGTCAAAAGACTTTACACAGATAAATGTTATCACTCCCATTCTACCAATATGAAAATGGAAAGCGATTAAGTGACAGGTCAGTGGTAGACCAAGGAATAGAACCTAGATTTCCTAATCCCCAGTCTCCTTCCCTAGGCCCCAATACAGGACAGCACTTAAGCATGTGCTTAAACCCCACTGAAGCCAATGGGACTAAGCACCCACTTAAATACTATTCTGAATGGGGATGGACATAAGTGCTTTGCTAAATCATAATTCTCTAGTTATTAGAATCCATATACAATTTTTTAACATCAAATAATTTATAAAACTGGCTTCTGGATTGTATGAAGGTTTCACAAAGTCTCCTTGGCACAATGCTGTGATGTCACATACCTTGGTACTCTTGTTCAAACTCAGCCCCAAGTGTTTTTCCCTGTGTGTTTTAACTAGGGCTCATGTATCGTATGATCATTCTACATATGAAACTCCCGTTGAAGTCAATTGCTCTTAGTACTGTTGCAACGTACACTGGGGCCTCTCCCCCTGAAGCATGGGCACCCATAAGAGTGATTAGAAGTCAGAATGTGCAGCAATCTAGACATAGCAAGTGTACGCACTAGTGTTCAAAACATAACTGATCTGTGCCAAAGGAGGAGACCTTTCTGCTTCTAGTTCTGAATAAAAATATTCAGCTAATGTTTTTATTACTCTAGAATATTTTAATTATAAATTTGTTACCAAGCTTTGACAAATGGTAATAAACACCCGTGAGAAGGCTGAGTCTCAAACTTTTTGAGAAAGCAACATATTGAAGATGACTGTTAAAAAAGATATTCATTTCTGTAGATGTACTATTCACAAAGAGTCATCGTGGTCTTTAGAACAAATAAAATCACCACTAAGAAAGATATATACAGAAACACCTAATTTTTCAAGCAGATGACCTGCTAGTACACTGCTATGCTTCAGCTACCATAAACGTTAAAGACATTTGAAATTATGAGTGTGCTCTGCATGCAGCTCTGGGATGTATTTGATACGCTGAAGTACAATAATGTCATTTCACTTCAGATCAGCAGCAGCAACACATTTTAAGCACTCATACAACATTGCAACTTGGCTATTACTTTAGGATCTCAAAAGGACGACATGGATATTAATAAACAAGTTAGCAGTAACTCTTCATTTTGCCAATTGTAAAGGACACTGATTGTCTTCACAGCACAAGAGTCTGGTCTTGTCACAAATGGTGCCCTTTTCCCTGAGTTTCCTTTGTGTTTTGCTAGGCATGAGGACCGGTTGGCTTGGGAGATGTACACGTCCTTGCTCGGCACTCTTTCCATTACAAGGCGGAGTTTAGGAAATCAAGGAGTTCAGCACGGTTTCGGTCTCTCTGTGGATTAGAAAAGCAGTTTTTATAAATCACTCATTTGTTCAGTAAACAATTTAATTTGTTAAGAAGTCAGCTTGGAAGTGCACATTTCTATTACACAGAAACTTAAAGGACCACTCAAGGGAGACAGAAAATCAGTGAAAAGTAGTTTTCTCACAGAAACAGAATAGTACTCAATGGGCCTGATACTCCACTGCTTTGCATTCTGTGTAGTAATTTACACCTGTGTAAAGTGGATGTCAACTGCTACCAAATCCAGATGGCTGGATATCATGATCCCCTGTGTTGCACGGATATATATAGCTATACTGGGTGCAAGGCAGTGAAGAATCAGGCCAGATATGCAGCCTCAGGATGCCTTCTAAGGGTGGTCCCTTATATGGGTTTCACTCTGTTTTTCTGAATGTAGCAACACCTATGTTATAAAGAGTCACAGTTTAGAATGTAATTTTATGAACAAAACTTTTATTGCAAATACTAAATTGTTTGAACAAGTGGCACAAATGTACTGACCTCATCAACAGTAGGTATCATAGCCACTATAAATAATCAGATAAGGAACTATGAAGTACCATCATCTATACATCAGGCAGTTTGATTCTTAGGATAAAAGTGGCAAAATCAAGTCAGATTCAGCATGGCTTGAGGGCAACAATAGCCAAACAATATATTTTTGACTAAATCTAACCTCAAAATGGTCAGTGTAATATATCAACTATAAAGTGAGCAGTGATCATTGAACAGTTAGTCAATCAAATTCAATAGCACTGGCTAGCCAAACTGAATGCCTGCTGATTGGTGTCTCACAGACTGCAGACAAACAAGGGGAACTGCTGAGAAGTGTGAAAATATAATTTGGATCGTGACTCTCAAGCCTCCATTTAATTGTCAAAATTTAACTATTTCACAGCATCAGCCATCGACTTACCGCAGTGAAGACACCGCGTTAAGTAGTTCTAAGTATGTCGACTTCAGCTACGCTATTTTCGTAGCTGAAGTTGCGTAACTTAGATTGACTTAGCTCGCCCCCCCCCCCCCCCCCCCCCCCCCCAGTGTAGACCAGGCCCAATGTAGAAACCCAGGACACTGGGAAGGTGGCAGTACTCCCTCTTTCATAGAAGAGTTAAAAGTAAAACCAACTATAAATCACACCAATGGAGAAAACCCTGAACCGGTTATGAGACAACCGTAGCGAACTCAGGGCTCCTTACTTAAGTTAGACAGGCACCCTTTACATGTCTGAATATCAGAATAGTCCATGCACACATCATAAAATTATTTTATGTCCAAGGGACTAAAATCTAGTCTCTTTCTGGTGACCCCATAACTACATAAAAAATTGCACTCAATTTAACGCTCTTAAAAGTACAATCAGCTCATCTACACAATGCAAGTGATCTGGGAAAATAGAAAAAGATACTGTACTCCCTCTTTTGGGACATACAGACCATTTTCAGCCATTTACCTCTTTATCCTTTTTAGTCTTCTTTATTTTCATCTTAATTTTTTTCCCTGTTATCATACTGTAGTTTTCAGTCTTCTTTTTGTCTTTAAGGTACTAAAACGAGATCATGCACTGTGATACATTTCAAAGAATAAAAATATGCTCACACTTTTCTAAACAACGTTATATTAATAAGCACATTTTATTATCATGCAGGGATCAGACGCTAATTTCCCTGTCCTAGGCATGCTGTGGCCAACTGTATTCCATTTCCCGGTGGGCCTTTTATTTCATAAACACTTGTGCATGGGGAGGAATGGGAGCATAACAGAGCACTATGAAACAGACATCAGCATATGTACCTTGGAAAGCTGGACAGGTCCTGGTTTCTCTCTCTTTTTTTTCTTTTCTTTCTTTTTCTTCAGCTTGTTCTCTTTTTTCCTCTTCTACAAGTACAAGACACGTATGCAAAGCTCATACTTCTCACAGAAGCACAAGAGAAAAAAACCCAACCCAAATATGTATGAACTCACAAATTTCCTGCTACTGTCCTGGAAGTCACTTTTGCCATAGCTCCCCACGCCTGGACCAACTCTGGGAGATGTATTAATGGGGGGGCAGCAAAGAGGTTGATGTTTGTTAAGGCCTAGTGACCCCCATGATCCCAGGAAACAGAAGTGGTGGTGGGTTCCCTGACCCCGTTTCTGGGGGGTCTGGTCCTCCCTGCCTCACTAAATATCTGAAATCCCTGAGCAGAAAGTGATAGAAATAAAAAGTATAAGACAGTGTAAAAATGCAGATTACATTATTATATCTAACCTGCTTATATTTTCTTGATGGATACGACAAGCTTATTAAGCTTAAACAGAATGTAGGAAAATCTGTAGTCTGTTCCACAGTACTTTCAAAAAGTTATCATTTGTTTCGGATGTCCACAAACATTCGGTGGAACTGAAGCTAATACATTTCTAAACATAATGGTGAATTCATTCCTTTTTGTGCTGCCAAATGATGGAGTTGGTTGCAGAAATGCAGACTAGATGCAACGGTCTTCACTCATAATCCCATTATGGCATTTTTATTGCAGCAAAGCTACCACAGTAGAATTGGATGCTGTTTTATACAGCACCAGTCACACAAGGTCCCCAAGGTGTTTAACAAGAAGTTTCATACCGGTAGTGCAGTGATTGCATAGACAGAGGCAGCAGGTCAGTAATATAATTCATACCAGGGTCCCCAATTCCTCTCACAGAGTGCCTTAAATTCTACCTGCACCCATTCCAGACACTACTAGAAGAAGCTCCATTTAATTTCTCCTCTGAAACAATTTGTACATTTTAATTTCAATTCATTTAATATCACCACAGAAATGTCTCCTTTTAAATGAACAATTATGTTCCTTATTTTGATTCCCAGGTGAGTTTTAATCACACCAGAATACAGTAGCAGCTAAGTTTTTTTTGCCTGGATTGCTATTTATTTCTGTCAGCAAATATTTACCTTTTTGTTGCGTTTTTCTTTTTTCCTTTTCTTTGATTTAGACTTGGGAGAATCTAAGGGGAAAAAAAAGAGTCTGTAATTTACAATTTTAAAAATATGGGTTATTTTACAGATTAAAACATTGAAATTAGTACAGCAGGAAAGGGACAGTGTTGCAAGTGTGAATAAGAAAAGAATACTTAAGTTTGGCTAAAATATATGAACCTTGACACAAAATGACGCAAACACAAACTCAGTTTGCTGCCACCTTGTGGTAGAATATCAACATTATAAATCCGTAATTCACCACCAGCGATTACTTGCATCGATATATTTATATTATTTCAAACAAACACTATCTGTTTCTGCAGCTACTGTCACAAATTATGAACCTCTCCAACATAATACCTAGATCAGTGTTTCTCAACTGATGGGTATGTGACTCCCAGTGGTTACAAAATGAAGTTACAGGGGTCATGAGCCAATGGAAAATTTTATTACAATCTAAAGCAAAGACAACCTCACTTCCACACTCTCCCCTCCCTTCTCCTTCAAAGTCAAGTATCCTGTCAACCGCTCAAAACACACACAAATTATATGGCCTTGTTGTTATCAGGGATACATTTTTTATTTTTATTTTTCTAGGATATGTAGGAGAGTTGTGAAATGTTTTGACTTTGTGTAAGGGGTTGCCAAGCTGATAGTCCAGAGAACAGATTATAATGACTAAAATTAAGCAATTAGCTCTATAACTTCTTTAGACTAGTACATAAAAAGGCTATATTAAAAGAATGTGAACGTTGCAGTGTAAAGCCCTCAAAAGTTAAGAAACGCCAGTATTTTGGACCCCCTGTGCATTGATACAGTCTTTAATTATATAATTACATTATTTTTTTCCACAGGACCCATTCAGTGCACAGGATGGACAGTGCTCAATGAATGGGCAGTGATGCATTATTTTGTTTTATCCTTGTTCAATGTGTGGCCCTAAACCTTGTTTATTCCACACTATTCAAATCCTGCTCTTAATTTCCTCCTGGGCTTTTCTATGGCACTAATCACTACAGTATCTTAGTGCTTTGCAAACATTAATAGTTTAGCATCTCTGTGAAGTGAGAGGGTGGGATTATCCCCATTTTACATATGAGAGAACAACTCGCTATGAGCTTGAAGGGTGGTTTCCTCAAGCGTTGAGAACTAGATTAAGGTCTCCCGGTGGAGTAGGGTCTCTGTTGTGAGGAAAAAGTTCGGTTAAAGTTGAATGCTGAAGTTACAGGGTGCACGAATACTGAAAACCCCGAAACAGGTAAGTGAAAAGCTGTAGTAGCAGCCAGGTGGACGTTGATGGAGCTCAGTGACAAACCCAGGGTTTTTAAACTCAGTGAGTGAGGTGTGACTCAGAGGGTGATAATAATACATGCTGGGTGCACCAGGAATAGAACTGCTTCCACTTTTGCAAGTAAGTCTTTCTTGTGGAGGGTTTTCTACTATTCAAACAGCACATTCTGTACTTTGAAAGAACACTCTACTATGCCCAAGGGCCATCGAGGAGCCAGGCCTTGAAATGTAGTGTGGGTAGACTGGGGTGACTATTGTGCCCAATCCTTGGGTCAGTAGGTCTGCGGTCAGAGGCAAGCAAAGAGGTAGCCACAGAGGCAGGCAAATCGGGTCCAGGAACCATACCTGCCTCAGCCAGGTTGGTGCTCAGGGGATGATGACTGCTTTCTCTTGCTTTCCTTTGTTTGGGAACTTAAGGCACAATGGTATTAGGGGACAGGCACAGAACAGAATTCCAGGCCAATGGGTGAGGTGAGGGAGGCATCTCCTAAAGAGTTGTAGCTACATCCTCCCCTGGAGCAGAACTGCTGGTGTGCTGTGTTGAACAGTGTTGGAAAGAGGTCTATCCCTGGGAATCCCCAGGCAAGAAAAATCTTTCATTGGATAGGATCACCCAGTTCCCATTCGTGGTCCTGGCAAAAATGTCTGGTCAGTATGTTTGCTATGGTGTTGTGCAGACCTGGCAGATATGCTGATGGTATGTCAATTTGGTGGGTTCTGCACCAGTTCCAAAGTTTGTATTGCCTCTGCGCACAAGGACTGGGATCTTGCTCTTCCTTAGAGGTTCTTATAGCACATGGTCACTCTGCTGTTCATGATGACTCTGACCAAGCGATCCTTGATCTTGGGTAGAAAGTGGATGCATGCCTACCAAACTGCTCTGACTGATGGGAAGAGAAGACTCCTGAGGTGTCCATCCGCCTTGTTCCATGAGGTTCTGGAGATGAGCTCCCCAGCTTACTAGGGAGGTGTCTGTAGAGATGGTCTTTGTGGGTGGTGAACACAAAAATGGGACTCCCATACCAACCTTGTGGGGATCCTTCCACCAACTGAGAGAGTTGAGAACTCTCAGAGGGATAGACAGCTGTTTGGAGTGGTTGTGCTTGTTGGAGTGTAGATGGTTCTGGGCCAGGGTTGGAGGCATTGGGAGAGCAGCCTGGTGTGAAGCGTTATGAACCTACAAGCTGCCAGATGGCCCAGAAGCGGCAGGCAGGCCTCTGCTGTGGTTTATTGAGAATGGGTGTGTGATGACATTTATTAAAGTTTGTGCCACCTTTAACACTACATATAATAAAACTTGTACTGCAGTTTTGTGTGCAAATTCAACACTTTATTTTAAACATGTAGTTAGTATGTTCCAAAGTAAGAACCAGAAAAGCTGACTAGCAGCAGTCAAAACGTACAACACAATAACCAAACTCGGTGCCAAAACAGTGGAAGATGCATGCTGCCAAATGACACGGACAGCTATTTCTGGGTGTCCCCTGTCCCTCTGTTGTCCTTGGCCTTTCTGATGCATTTTATATGTGCAGGTCACAACTGGACAGGAGTGGACGAATACACAGGTTACATTTGTCTGTTCCATATGCTAGTGTTCATTGCCTTGATTGAGCTTTTGCTCTTATAACATGACAGAGTCTTATTAGTTAAATTTGGGCTCTAATATGCCCATTATAGTTTTATTTTATATGGAACGCTTTGTTTCCAATATTTCTGCTTCTAATCATTTGAATCAGTTCTTTGTTAAATAAACCAATACTAGCTTTCTCTATAAACAAATCTAAGTCCTGGGTGTTAAGTGGAGCTGGGTTCTACGGTGTAACTGGTAAGCTGTGGTGTATTGTTCCTTTGGGGGTCCAGTGGAACAGGGGCCGGACCCTATAGGCGGATGTTCGGAGGGGTCGGGTTTGGAGTGTGCCTATCAGTAACCTGTTTACAGAGAGCAGGGCCTGTGGAGGCTTGGAAGGCAGTGCTTGTGTTGCCAGAGACTGGTGGTGTTGGGGAACTGACCCCCAGCAGGCATAGACAAGGCTTCCTTATGCTAAGGCCAGGTGGTAGTGAGGTGCCTCACAACCTTGGGTACCCCCAGGAAGTGTTACAGAGGCTCGTGAGTTACAGAGGTAGCCCTAATAAGCACACCCCACCCTGGAACGTAACCATCTGGAGTTCCTACTCTGTGAGAAGTTCACATTTGTCACCAGCCAGTAACAAGTGAAAATTCCTCAGAAAGAAGATGCTGATTTAGCACGGAGATGTAGTATAGCCTCCTTACAAGCACCCTGTGTCCATGAACAGACCTGGCCGATCGCCAGCCACAGGGACTCCTAACACAGAGAGACAGCCATCCTCTGCTGTAATTTGGATTCATATTTAAGGCAGCTATGAACTAAATACACACTCTGGTTTTGTTTGAACAGCCAGGGTTTTTTGAGACTCAGTTTACAGGAAGTCCTGGCCAGTACAGGTGTGGCCTATTTATAAGCTGTGTTGTATTACACAAGAGGGGTACATGAGGCTATTTGTGGAGCCCCAACCTATACTTGTAACAATCAGCAAGTAACTGGTCTATGTTTCATGATAACTGCTTAACTTTTCTTCCTCATTTTGTGGGGTCCATTTTGAATCCCACGTGGTGCTGGAGGAAAGGAGGGTGGAGGATGTGAGGGGAATGGTGTGGGTTCCGCACTGAACAGAGGCATACTAAACCCTGGCTTATATTAATAACTTCATAGGGCGATAAGCTGGAAATCCCTCCCATCCATACATTAACAGCAGAAAACATGGCAGCAGAAACTTAGTAGGCTCTGGCACCTGCTCTGCTGCAGGTTCTGTAGGCAGCTGCTTCCCAAGGTCATCTCCAAACAGCTCTTCTGAGTACAGACCCAGCTGTGCTCTAGTTGCTCTGGTGGCATAGCCTCTTTGGTTATTGGCCACAGCACCAGGGTCACTTCAGACGGCACCTGTGGCTGGGAAGTTATAAGGGTGCCATCCCTGCTCAGCAGATTGTCATACACCACTGTGGGCTCAGTGCTCATTACAGGTCTGTTGCGGGGTATGTACACCCCGTCACAGGTGCCGGGTCACGTATGGCAAGAAGAAGGGGAAAAAAAACGTATAGCAGCCCGTTAGGTCCCTCGTTTGTCACCTTGACTATCAAATGTGGTAGTATGGCCTAGTGGCCAGTTTCAATAAAGCAGCCCTTCTGCCCAAGGCAGCATGGCCCAATGGCCAGAGTCAAGAGTAGCCCACCTAACAACAGGGATTGTGTGGCCTATTGGTCTGCTGGGGAAGTGGGGTACCACTCGGGGGGGAGGGGGCAGCGCCCAGGGTAGGGGGACTCAGACCCTCGCTGCTCCTCTGAGTCCCAGCCCAGGAGCCTGGCGGTGGTGGGGATGTTCACCACCGAGTCAGCGGGGATCCTTCCGAAACACGCTGACTGGTTCCCCGGTTCACTCACTGGAGAAGAGTCTAAGTTCCCTAAACTGCTTCCTATCCTTTCTCCCTCGGCGATGCTCCATGTTTCCCCTGGGTCTCTGGGGTCCTCGGGTAAGCTCCTGCTGGCACGGTCTCTTCTCCGGGCTCGTCAGGCAGCCTGGAGTCCGTCTGGAACTCTGCGTCGTGTGGCTTATAGTCGGAACCTGTAGCAGCTCCCTGGAGAGAGCCTGCAGTCTGCACACCCTCCCCTTTCAGCAGCCTGCCCGACACGACAAGTGATTAGAGACAGGAACTTAAGGCA